GCGAATGACTTACAGCGACTAACGCTGCTTTACGTAGGCATATGCGGCAAGCGTGGTATATGGCTAAATATGCATCGATTTTAAAGTCAAAGTATATATTAAAGTCATGGAGAGGAACAGCCCATATCAAATGCAAATAATCTGAAAGATACCTTGTTTTCAAGCGCGGATGACTTAAAATCTCGTTCTTCAAGCTTTAAAGCGAAATACGCTTTACACAGAAATATAATGTACAGTATACGGGAAATATAGCTCGTTTTTAAATCCTTGAAGCAAAATAGCCCATTTCAAGCGCGGATGATGGCAAGCTTACGTAAAATATGCCTCGTTAGTAAAGTCATGAAACAAAAACGACTCATTTCAAAGGTTAATCACGTGAAATATACCGTGTTCTTCGACCCATGAAGTGAAACCGCGTTTTGCACTGGCATGTACAGTATATACGGAATATGCCTTTTTTCGCCAGGCCATGAAACGAGGCTATACTGAATTCGATAGAAGTGAAATCTGTTTTATTTTTTCATGAACCATGAAGTGAAACCGCGTTTTGCACTGGCATGTACAGTTTATACGGAATATGCCTTTTTTCGCCAGGCCATGAAACGAGTCTATACTGAATTCGATAGAAGTGAAATCTGTTTTATTTTTTCCCTTTCGAGGTGAACGAAGCTGGTAAACAGAAATATGATATTGCTTAATGTCAGTCACAAGAGATGGCTCTCTCAAAGTATGTCGGCAGTTTCCTGCATTCCTTCTATTTTTATGACAATCGATGTGTCGAATAGTTCGAGAGTGAAAAAAGGCCATCGAGTTACTCTTCCGAGTCAGCTGAGTGGAAGGTATTGTATGAAAAGAAAAAGAAAAAGAAAAAGAAAAAGAAAAGAAAAAGAAAAAGAAAAAGAAAGAGAAATAGAAAAAGGAAAAAAAAACCAAACCTTCATTTCTTCATTTGGTCAGTTTCACAGAATTCCGTCCATTCTACATACGCTACTATTCTGTTTCAAGTCGGGGAATTTGCCAAAATCGTACCACGGGCTATTGGTCTTTTTAACTTCTCGAGATCGCGACCCTTTTTGTCCTGGCTATGTCTCGCCTGTTTATTTCCTCTAAATGTTTCATGATAAGAAATTAACCACTTTATTGTTATTTCCTTAGACCATAGTACAAATGCGTTTGAAAACAGAGTTGAGTTGAAATAGGGTTTGGTTGTGAAGCGTCTTCAGCTGTCCCGCGGCAAAGATTTAGTCAAGTAATTATTGAGTCTGTACTATTTTTTTGGTTTATCGAATTTACGATAGCGTCAAATTCGTCACCACCCTACATCATTCAAGGTCATCATTTCATACTGCCCAGAAGCCCAGTGCGCTCGACTTTGCCTTCGTCTATCTTATTCTGAACAGACTTTTTATTTCAGTGCACATCGGTTTTGCACACTGGAGTTAATTAGTTAGTTAAAGGGAAGAATAGACGTACTTCATACTCACAAAAAGTATTGGAAAAATTGTTGTAATGTACGCCCTGAAAATGTTTCTCATTAGGGCCCGATGATTTCCAAGGGTAAAGCTCAGAATTCAGATTCCGATGATTTTGAAACCGATCTATACACCAAAGAATGTCAGCCACCAGCTTGAGTAAGATTTGATTTCAAAAGTCGTATAAATCAATTACAGCGTTGCGTGATCATTGTGAAAACGCCAATGAAAGAAAAGCCCATGCTAATGAAATTGCCTTACGGAACTGTGATCTGCGTTCTCAGTTGTCGTTTACCCGCAAAAGTCGCTGGGTTATTTTGCAAAACTAATGAAGCTGAATAGCGAGAATTAAAAAACCATTAAGTCGCGGTGTAAAATTCTATCCTTAAAAGAAAAAAACAGCTTGGTTTAAACAGAGTTAGTACTCACCTCTTCTAAATATAAGAGGTAATTCCATATTCGAGTAGAACGTGATCGCAACTTAGTGCCAGCTTCATGACTAAATAATTATTTTAAAATGTATGCAGTTAAAAGACTGCACGCGCGCAAAACGCAAACTGCGTGTGCTACACGCACTTGCAAGTCTGACTGTGAGCTGAGTGTAAATTACACGAAATCAGTCAACTGCAACTCATTCAATGTGTTTACTGAGACAATTAGATACAAAATTATTTGAAAGATTTTGACGAGCATCAGCCAGTAACTGCACTTTGATGGGTTTCTTATTAATGGAAACTGTGAGTGCCGGATTTCCTGTTTGAGTGGTATGCACCATTTGAAGTTACGTGGCATTTTTTTCAGAGTCAGGTACTCGAGATTAAGAATGCCATCCCATAATTCTATAAATGTACATGTACCAAGTATCCCGAAGTTTGGAAAAAACACCATGGCAGACATTTTCAGTACAGAAAGACATCAGCTATGTAAGGAGGGAAAAATAGAATCCCCTCGCTTCTCCTGAGTGGAAAGCCACGACAAACCAACACGACAGCAATCATGGTGAACACCACCTACACTATTTCTGGGGTTTCTACTTAATTCAAAGCCTCGACCCGAATTATTCACTATTGTAAAAAAAAAACAAGAATAAAAAGAAAATGGAAATAAAGGGAATAAAATAAAAGAAAGAGAAATAAAACATTTTCAGACAACCACAACACCAAACGAACTTAATAGTGAAGAGCTGATGTATCGAGCAAAGGAATGGAGTTGCATCACTGCAGCAGGAGTTTAAAAGTGTGATTTTAGAATTATCATTAAGTGAATTTTAAGGTAGCCTAAGCGGTGAGCGTTTAAAAATCCTATATCTTTTTATAACCTTTTCTAACTCGCAGTCAAATAAGCGTTTTAGCTGCCCGTCTGATACACTATAAGAATTATTTTATGCTCAACCTCGATGATATTTTGCCCCATTTTTATTATATGGGATATAGCAGACAACCAGCCAGAGAGGCTACCACCTGGAGTCTACAATAGCAATACTGAGTCGACCGAATTATAAAAAAATCCAAAGCATAAGTTTATGTTTGATAGTTAAAGAATGTATTCGTCTCTATTTGTGTTCAAACACCACTTACACATAATTTTGTCAATTACCGAATGTGAGTAAATTTATACTCTCACCGGTTGTCGTCAGTCTTGAAGCTAATTAATTGCCAGAATAAGGTTGAGGTTGCCGTATTTTTTGCTTAAGATGTAATTATTTATTCAATCATTAAGGGACCAGTTTCTCAAAAAACATTTATTTTCTAGGAAGCTTAGGAGGAACAAGATTAAGAAGTTGCATGGTGATTTATTTACTCCATTGGTGGAGCTAAAGGTTCTGTAAGTCAGGAAGCTCGCTTTTATAACGATCTACTTTAACTTGAAGGATATTAACTTTTGCTTTAGATTTTTCCACGGAAGTGACAAAAGGAATGACTTACACTTCGCGCCCAACTCGCGCTTGCCTCCGTTCTACTGAAATCCCTAAAAATCACGCCGATGATTTTGAAAACGATCGATACACTAGAGAATGTAAGCCAACTTCTTGAGTAGGATTTGGTTTCAAAAGTTTCAGAAATTAACTACAGCGTTGGGTGAACATTATAAAAACGCTAAGGGAAAAAAGGCCCATGTTGATAAAATTGCTTTATGGAACTGTAATGCGTTTTACCCGCCGAGGTCGACAGGTTATTTTGGAAACTAATGAAGCTGAATAGGGAGAGATCAGAGATGTCTTTAACGTACTGTATGGCTTTTGAACTTTTAATGTGAAAAAAAGCCGATTAGTGTAGCCATCTTGAGTGAGAACTTTGCATCTTATTCTATCTTGTCTCTAAATTTGTCCCTTTTTTTGGTTTGTTTCACACTTGTGCATTCGTTTAGTCGTTGGTGATGTGATGTGCGATTTCTCTGGGGAGACCGATTTTTGAGCTTTTAGCGCAAAAACCATTGAATTGCGATGTAAAATAATTTCACCCTTTGAAAAAAAAACAGCTTGGTTTAAACATAGTTAGTAGTACCCTCTTCTGACAGTGGTTTATTCGTTAGATTGTTGACGAGTATGAGCTAGTAACTGCACTTTGTTAGGTTTCTTATGAATTAGAGATGCGAGTGTCGAGACTTAGAAGATTAACTTGCACTGCTTCCGCTTTCCTTCCGACTGCACGAATTCACTTGAAATCTGAAAATACTAATTTTGTTATGGAGTTTTTGAAGAAAAAAAATCCGTTGCCTAACGCGTTACCATATTTTTCTTGATGTTTGTTTTCTAAATCTCAAATGCAGAACGCACAAAATTAATTTGCTTACGTGTATGGTGCGGGTTAAATGCTTACCTAAAATATCGTTTTTGCTTCTTATTGGGATTTGGGTCGCATTAGTTACCTCAGCCTCCTGTAACTATTTGATCACGTATGTGATCCTGTTCTATCTTTAACCAAATTTTAATACACATCCATACATCGTTAAGCATAAACAATATCAAGAAGTTGTCTTATAATTTCTTTGCTGAATTATTTAACCTGCAAACCCTGTAGCCTATTAGCTTTACTTTAACTTTTCCAGGATTTTACTAGAAGACATGTTCCTACATGAATAATGAATATCACACAGTTTCTAGAACTCCAAGCTATTGGCATAGCAGGTGGCGCAATACACAAAACGATTGCAATGCTACGTCCTGTAACAACTCAAGTTCGAGATAAAAAAAAAAAAAAAATTAATTGGAAACGCAAGTGTTCTTAACAATATCAAGCAATTGGTATATAAAGGCACTTTTATTGAAAAGAGCATCGGAGAAACGTCTAAACAACCCAAAGTGGATAACGATGGACGGAAAAAATCTTAATATGATGCCCTCGCCTCTGTCGAGAGAAACACAACAACAATAAGGACAACAAGGACAAAAACAGCAAAAAAAATTAAATGCTCATTTACATGGTCTTTGTATTCTTCTTATAAGGATTTGAATTCTATCCAGTTCTTTAACCTACTGTAACTATATAATCACGTTTTTTTTTCTTTTTATATGCCTAATCTTTGTAGTGACTTGTCTAACAACCAAATAGAAAATCTACCACCTGGAGTCTTCACAAACAACACCGATTTGAGAGGGCTGTAAGTAAAACATTTATAGCTTCGTAGTTGATACTATCGACTATCTTTTTTATTTCAACGTTTTAATAAAAGAAAACTGGCCAAGAACATATCTATGATTTGCAATTCAACAGAAAAATTGAAAATAATAATTTAAAGGAGCTGCATCCTAAACAGTTTCGGGGACTGGTAAAGCTGAATGAACTGTGAGTAGTTCATAAACATTTATGTATTGCACAAGTTTTGAATCTAGGCATCTATCAAAAGTGAAAGTATACTATCGTGCTGGTAGCATAACTTGGCCTAACTGCTGAATTTGTTCATTACTACAAGCGGAAAAATGCCTACTCCGATTTACCTTTCAATGTTTTTAAAACATTATTTTATTTCCCAGAATTCCTGATTTTCATTCATGATTTGGTCTGTTATTATTATCTTTCTTCAAAAATTTCTCGTCATTAAATATCGAGTTATTAGTGAGTATTCTCATAATCCCTTGGATTCTTACGGAAACGATTACTGATGTCCCGTTCTTTAATCCGTTATGTTCAACATTCATTTCATTTTCTTCCTTTCTTCTTCATTAGCTATCTATCGGGAAACAAACTCAGATACTTCCCACAAGGAATTTTTAAAGGCCTAAAGAAGCTTCTTATTATGTAAGTAGACTATGAAATTCATTTGGTGAGTGACGTGTTTTTGTAATAACATGTTACGCATTTCACCTTTAAATGATCATTTACACATCAATGTCGAAACATTGTTGCACTTTCTTTTTGTTAGAGACATTGATGAAAACGAAATGACTCATGTCTCCACCGACAACTTCAAAGAAATTAAACAACTGAAAATTCTGTGAGTGTTATAATAAATCAAGTGATGACCAAGTTGTGAATCAAACCTTGTTACCTTGAGGTGTCCAAATAATTGAATATAATGAAAACACTCCAAATCGACGCTTTTATTGTAAAAGCTTCTTACCTTATCTGCAACTCACCGGAAAATGCTTTCCTGATAGCAGAATGATTATTTGCTTGGTGGTGCTTGGTGGTGCGTCAGTGTGGGGTATTTCAAGACATTTGGTGTCGTTTTACATTTAAACTCTGATTGGTTGAGAGCGTACAGTCAATATTCAAAAGCGTGTGAAATATACATGATAACCGGATATCTACATCAGGTATTGGGTTATCACGTGGAGTTCAAAGTCTGACTAGTTGCCAAGCCCCTAGTCGGTGTAACGTCCTGAAACTTTTGCAAACTCAGAGAGAAATGTCTTCTTTTGCAGAGTGTTTTAAAAATGTACAATAAAACAGTTATTGATTTCGGTTTTCCCATGATATCATGGATTGTAAAACCTTGTGTCTGCTTTCTATGCCTCAGCCTTCGGCTTCGGCGGATAAATCAGACCTCAGCAATATGATAATATCACGGTCAATCTCATCCGATATTTAACTATTATCAACTGAGTTGGTGATGTAAATTGGCCACCCTGAACCTCAAAAGCCGACGCCTGAGCATTAGCCCTTCGTCCAAGAATACAGGAATGTGCGGGCACGCCAACGCCAAGGCTTTGTTCCATGTTGTTTGTTAATCCAGTGGTCAGTGCATGGGGTTCCGAGTCGGACGACCCGGATTCTAGTCCTGGCCGGGGCAAGGCTTTGCGCCCTTGAGACGAGCGGGGAAAAAAATGCGAGCTCCGCTTTTAGGCTTGGCTAAATCTATGTATTATACAGAAAATGACGCTTCGCGACTAGAGGGAACCTGGTCACGTGATAAACACAAATAAATTAGTTAAATGAAAGACTTCGTTGACATTGTGGGATTAAGAGAGCCTATTTGAAAGATTAATTTTTGTTGTGGAGTTTTGCGGCTTTTCATCATTATATTTTTATCTATTAATTTTTAATTTCCAGGTATATGCAGTACAACAAGATGAGGGAGATTCCATCTGGTTTTTTCGATGTGTTGAAGGATATACTGCGAGTGTAAGATTTTGATAAAATTCATTCGCAAATTTTTTGTTTTTGAGCAAAGCTATACATTTTTAATAGACAATATTTTGGGGAAATTAAAGTTTTTGCAAAAAGAATTGAAGACTTGGATTCTTAAAAAAAATATTTTGTATAAGTCAATGGATAACTCCAGCCATCAGTTACTGATATATTCTTAAAAGCAAGTTCTTGTCGACAAGGTCTGTGAAGTTTTAATGAAATAACTTCTCTCAGTGGATGATATTTTACAATTGTAGGAGTCTCGACACAAATCTGATGTGTTGTCATATGCACAAGGAGGACGCTGACTGTGCTTTCACATACAACGACGACTTTGCCAACTGTGAGAGCATGTTTAAGAATTCTGCCCCAAGGAAGAGTATCTGGGTGATAGGAGTATTTTCTCTGGTTGGTGCAGCGTTTGTTATCACTTGGCGAGTGATCTTTAAAGAAAAGAACGTGGTTCAGTCCATCATGTTGCTCCACTTAGCAGTGTCCGATGGTTTGATGGGTATTTACCTGATCTCTCTTGGCACTAAAGATCTGTTGTGGAGAGGAGAGTATTACTTGCATGACTTCCAGTGGAGGTCTGGTTTGTCTTGTCAAATAATTGGAGCGATCTCCCTTCTGTCAAGTGAGGTTTCGGTTATGATGATGACACTGATATCTGCTGATCGGCTTAAAAATATTGTGTTTCCTTACCAAGGTGCTTCTCTGAAACCAAAGGCAACACATATCCTGTGCATCATCATATGGGCAATTGGCTTCCTTATGGCCTTTTTGCCTATGTTTGGTATTCAGTATTTTGAAGACCCATTCAGGTACCATAGTTACTATGGTAGAAGTGTGGTATGTCTGCCCTTGCAGCTTACTTCTGATAAGCCGGCAGGTTGGGAGTATTCTGTTGCTATCTTTCTCGCTTTGAATTTTGCTTTTTTCTTGTTCATCATGGGTGCTTATCTCATGATACTAGTCAAGTCTTACTTGTCTAGCCGGCGACTGGCCCGTCAGGGTACTGAAAGAGAGATCCAGGCCAGAAGAGCAAACTTTAGGAGGGAAACGGCTCTTGCAAGGCGGGTGTTCTTCATCATCCTGAGTGATTGTGTGTGCTGGATGCCGGTGATAGTGATTGGTATGAGGACCATCATCGAGAAGTCTTACGAAGCGCAAGGAGACCTCGCTGTCTGGATCGCTGTATTTGCCCTTCCGATCAACTCGGCCTTGAATCCTATCCTGTACACCTTGTCAACAGAACAGGTGCGTTATGCGCTTTTAATCCATTATAAGTAGTCAAGATAATAAAATCCGTAAGTAGACTTATAATGGCTAGGTACAGGAAGGGTAATGGTTTTCAGCCGACTATAAGCAGTGTATAATAGCGCTCAAGACTGCTTTGTTCACCTGCAATTGATACTGACAATGTTTCAAAAGCATTGGATAGCAGAAATTCGTTAGTTTCTATTTTGTCATCGGAACTCAGCTCAAGGCAGTGAGCGAAATCTCGATCACTTTATTGTATCCAGGTCAGAGGCATTCTGAAGAACAAAATGGAAAAAGTCTGGAACTACTTGAAGACCGTTTTCACCTGCTGTGGTCGGGATCAGGAAGGTGCGATATAATTATTAGCTCCTGATAAGAAATAAACCGAAAAACGATGTAAACCAACAGATTGCTGCAAACAAAGTTTATTGATCTATTGATTTATTCATTCAGTCACTCAGTCATAAATCAATTCACTCATGCATGCATAGAGGCATTCATTTAATCATTTACTCGCTCGTTCGGTCCATCGTTCTTTTATTGGTCAGTTCATTTGTTGTACGAAATAAATATTTCTTGACTCGATCATTGACTTTTCTTCGTTGTTTTCTTTAAAAGGCCAAGGAGATGGGGAACAACCGAACCAACCGGGAGTAGAAGACAATGGACAACATGGCGGTGAGGGAGGTAAATCCTAACCCGTATTTCTAGAAATATCGTGAAAACTATAAACGAGGGAAATAAAGGGCAATCTGTGACTAAAAATATTTTTTTATGTCTTCTCTCTTCTTTGTATGTTCCCTGTTTTTTTTTTTTTTTTTTTTAATTTTAAAATTAAAGGTCGAGGAGAGGGAGAGCAAGTTAACCAGCACGGAATGGAAGAAAATGGAGAACATGCGGGCGAGGGAGGTAAAAACCTTTCAGATGTCAGTTAACATATCATACAAAGTTCAAACGAGGGCACAGGGTTAGTCTGTGTACATTTTTTATCTACTTTCTCTTTTCAAGGACAAATTGAGGGTGAAGAAATCGAACTGGCGAGTATTGGTGTGCATCATCCACAACAGGGTAAGGCTAGAGTTTCTAATTTAATGTCAAGTTTTCAATGCTATTCTGTTAGTTTATATTGTACCTGTGTTCCTCTATAACTGAAGGATCTATGACTTTAGGATATTTTCATACACACAAATAAATTTTATCATTATCATTTTAATTACTCAACCTTTCTTGTCTATTACGTTTTAGTAGTTTGAAATTGTAGATCTCGTTCTGCGTTCGTCACAAAAAATCCTTCGTTCTATCACTTATTTGTTTCTTGGCTCGTTCACAATTTTTTTTCTTTGCTTTCTTTAAAAAGGCCAAGGAGATGGAGAACAACGGAACCCACAGGGCATGGAAGACATTGAACAACATGGCGGCTTGGGAGGTAAGACATTTTTTCCTTCTAGTGAACACAGTACGGACATGAAAACTGTGAATGACAACACAGTGGCAATCTCTGACTATATTTTTTATTAACTATTTTTTTCAAGGGGAAGTCGAGGGTGTAGTTATCGAACTGGCTCATGTTGATGTGCGTCATCCACAACAGGGTAGGCTGAAGTTTCTTCTCTAATGTCATCTTTATGTAGATAAAAGCTCCGTACTGAAGTTTTCGTTGCTGTTCTGTTAGCTTGTATTGCCAAGACTCTACAATATGTTTTATTAATGGTAGTTTTTTTTTTTTTTCTACTTCTGGAGGGATCTGGGTCAGATGGATATTTTCGTACATACAAATCAACACAGTTCATTTACATCATTATAGTTATCCAACCCTCATCGTTCATTACGTTAGTTCTAAATTCTACAAATCTCGTGTTCTAAGACAATTTTGTTAGGTTTAAAAGTTTTGAAAAATTTCTTTGTTATTTTGTCTCCAGTTATTGTCATTATTTGAAATAAAGAAAAACAAAATAGTCTGACTTGATTCTGAAACAATCACTAATAATGAGATAATGGAAAATAAGGTACAATATTGTTCATTAGTTTAAAATAAAAAGAAAGACAGTGTTTACCTTTTTGTTTCAAGGAGTACTTGATGAAGCCGAAAAAATCGAACCGGCACCTATTGAGAATACTGATCTAAATCAAGGTAACTTGTCTTACCTTATTTATTAAAAATGTATAGCCAACCTTTTTTTTTTTTTTAGAAAATTGGTCGCTATTCTTTGTTTGTTTGACAACTCATTCAGTGTTACTGTGGTAGAGATAGACAAACCTTCTAAGGTCTATTAAGCTCTCCTGCGTATCGATCAGTTCAGAGTCTCATTACCTCCCTTAGGTATTGCCAAGCTCTAAATGAAGTAAATTTTTAATTTCACAGTTGGCTTTCTTACCACTATAACTGGTGGTCAAATCAAAGAATATCAATTATCCTCAAACAGGACTAAGAGATGAAATTTTTTAATGCAAATGAGCGAAATTTGGGCGCAATAAATTAAGATTTTGCATAACAGGTGGCGGCCAAAATGAACGGCAATAAGTATGAAAACATCAAGTGGAGTATAGATTCACGTAATTCTCATTTGGGAGCTTTAACATTCTTATGCAATTCTTTCAAGAAAATTGCCAAGCAAAAGATAAAAAAGACCAAACACTTAAGAAATCCCAAAGTTTGACATGAATCTATTATGTGTAATATTACAAGTGTTTGATAACTGGTAATTGAAATGTCACGAGCACGAAAGCAGGGTATTTCGGGTCTTTTATCCGTTTTTAATTTGGCTTTGGGTTTGTTTCGCAAAAAGTGCAATGTTCTGTTGCGAATTTTGATGAGTCTCGATAGAAAAGAGAAGGCCATTAAATATACCCGATGCAAATTTCTTTGGCAAAAAAACAGTTTTTCATGTAATAATTACTTCCACTTTATTATTCTATCCTCTTTGTTTCGCCGACATTTTGCAAAAAAATTGTAATTTTTTCGTTCTTATTTTTATTCATTTTTCCTTTATTTGCCGTTTCATCAAATAAACAAATTTTGTTGCGAATTTATTTGGAATACCTCGGTAAAAAAAAAACAGCAACAACAAACAAACCAACAAAACAAAACGAAAGCAGCCAATTCGGTTTATTTCTCCAGCATTACCTCGCGGATTACCCTACAGTTATCTATTTATTTTGTGTTTTTCTTACATTTAGAGTGTCGTTAACCAGTTTCATCAAGTTAAGCAGTTGCCACAGCGCATTAAGTACCTTATCAAATATGTAATTTTTTTACTTTGTTTTTTTAATGTTAGGAAAACGGAACAAGAGTTTGAAAAAAGGGGACGGTAAATTCAGGCATTCTACCGCAAAGAAGTAAGTGGTGAGAAGGGGGATATACACAGGTTCAAATTCCTCCAGAGATACAAACTGTCCGCATAACAAAGTTGACGGACGTTGTAACTGACAAACTAACTGCTAAATTATTTGAATTACTGGCTTATTTGCAAACTAGCTAGCTCCTTAACCTATTGCTTAAACGGTTGGAAGAGTGACTGTCGTTAGCGGACTTACCTCACTGACTAACTGACTCACTAACTTCCTTACTCACTGATTAACTAGCTGACGGACTGACCGAATTACTGACAAAAATGAGTGAGCAACTGATAAACCAACTAACTGACTACTTGACTGACTGACCAAACGAATGCTGAGCAATCGTCAGAACAACTGATTAACTGTTTCACTGACTGGCTAACTATGTGCCCAACTTAGCAGCCAACCGAAACATTGATTGATAGTTTATTTCATTGACTGATGGATTGACTGATTAAATGACAGAACGGGGCTTTTTACATAAATAATTATTTTGCACGATAATAGCGATTGAACATTTCTTTTCTTTTCCTTGTTTTGCTTTTGTTTTGTTTTGTTTTTTTTAACAGAAAAAGGGAAAAATCAAGATCAATGCGTCAAAAGTCACCTTCGGCTACCGAAGCTGTCGATGAAGAACACACTTTTGAAGAGGACACAAAACTGTAGGCAGTTAAATTCGAGGAAATTATTATAAATTCTAAGCAATTTAACAAGAAGAAATGGCAATTAGAAATCGATAATCTCGTCATTTGTTTTTTATTAGGCGTATAAGATACTTAAGACAGAAAAAAAAACTGTTTTGTTAACTTTGTGTCTATTTAGATGTAAAGGAGGACTTAGTTATAGTGAACCAATCAGAGTTTCACTCGATCTTTGGCTGTCTTTAAAAAAATCCCCAACAAAACGATTTTTTTTCTAACGATAAGCGTTACTTAGTTTAGGGTGCGTTGCTTAGTTAAACCAAATTTCACTCGATCTTTGGCTGTCTTTAAAACATGGGAAGTCATCATCAAATATTAGTTTCTAGAATGCCTTTTCACAGTGACTTGGAGGTTATGTAACTATGATGCCATTCTACCAGAAGTTTAGTGTTGTAGGCTTACGGAATGTTCTAAATACGTCTAAAGAATTCAGTAATCTAGGAGTAATTATGCATTTAAAGCTAAACTGAGGGAGAGAGCTACTGTCATGTACTTCATAGAATGTGTATTTAAAAGAGATTGTCAAAAACAGTGAGTTTGTGACAGTGGAGAACTGAGGTATAGTCTGTAGTGGTTTGTAGAAGATAATCACTGTATTGCCTAAAGGAGTCGCTTCTTAGTAAGCATTTTCACATATTGTTTAATTACGTAGTAGTGGTGTGGTATTCTTTCTGTCTTAGAATGTACCGTGACAAGAGATTCAAAAGTGGTTTTCAAGAGTTTTGATTTGATGCTTGCTCATTTTTCCTGCTTGATTATGTGCTTCATTATTAGAACAATACCAGGTTTTTCTTCATATTTCCTGCAGAGTTCAGAAAATGCATGCTTTCTGACTCATTGAATTATCTAACAAGTTGACCCTCGTTAAAAACAAAAATAATAACCTGTGCCTTTGCATGAGTTAAGGAAAGCTTTAATTCGTGAAGTTTTAGCAAATTGATCAATTGGTATATCAAAGAAGGTGCAAGTTATAATAGCACCAATGAGCTCATAGAGGTTTATTGCAAAAAAGTTTTGTTAGTAATTTGATAGTAATATAAATGCTGTATTCAATTGAATTATTACTGCCATTATTACAATAAAAATAAAAATAACGAGAGGGATCAATAACACCTTGGCTATTTGAAGTTGTGTTTATTTTATGTACTTGGATATTTTGCAAATGAAACGAGTGCATCCGATGTCTCACATCAATTACAGCGTCCAAAACAATCATGCCCAAAGTGGGCTAGTGCTCGGCTTGAAGCTCAATAGGATGGAATCGATTGGTACGTAGTCATTAAGAAAAAGAAAAAAAAAAAAAAGAAAAAGGAAAAGAAATTGACAACAATTGATGATGAACTAGCATGCTTTTGTTGATGTTATCGTTCGTGTTAAAGTCTTTAGTAGTGATGCAGCATTTTAAAGCAGTTTGAATGATTTCGCTATGCCACGTGTTAATCCAAGAGAAAAGTATTATTATCAGAAGTGTTCCTGAAATTTTGCACATCAATGATATTCAGTGTCAATTGATTTTAATGAAGCAATTGAGTTTATTTTTATGACTATCCTGATTTATTCAACTTCGTACCGGGGATATTGCATTTCTAGCCCCCTATGGATTTACTCCACCTCAGTAATCAGTTCATGTACCATATGACTATAAGTGGAAACTGTTGAGCTTTCTTTTTTTCATTCATTTATTTATCTATTCATTTTCTCCCCTCACGGTGGGGAGAAGAGATGAAGACAAAAGATGAAATATAAACATTAGATCAACTGTAAAATATATGTTTTCCCAATATTTCGGTTCGGGAACTGATGAACCTGTCATAATGGGCTAAAGGAAAACAATGAAGGTTCATTTGACCATCTACTGACCATCGCGTGGAATTTTGTAGCTCAATGGTTCAATTTGACTTTGGCGTGGAAAAAGGCAACATGTCGGGACCTGTGATCGTGGATAACATATGATTGGTCAGTAGATATCTTGTTCTGTAAGACACTTTATCATATAGCTAACAGCGCACGCGGGCAAGATGAAGTGAATCCTGTGTTCTGATTTGCTACCTGAGCGGGCATGATGGGCCCACCTTCGTCCGCTCGGGATTCCCCGAATTGATCCAAAGCAAGAAAACTTACAAAGTTCGTAACTTTTGGACAATGTTGGCATATACATAGAAAAAAAAATAAACGAGCCTCTCGGGTTTATTGTTTTTTTAGAACTTGGCCAACATCCAGCCATTCTGACCTCACGCTTGGTCAATAACGCATATGAATATATTTTATGCAGACCCATACAAATCTGGCAAGGGAAGACTGTGCAAAAAATGTACTTGTCTTCCTTGTAATTTGGTTCATGAAGTGTAGACTTCAGCACTGATGACAGAAGTATATCGTCAAAATCTGTTACACTTAAGAGTCTGAGCCAATGATATAAAGAGAGTTACTGGTCAGCGTTCTCATTGCTTTTGCGTTCGTCAATTTGATGCCAAAGTACATCAGTATCAGTATAAGGTTTTGTAGCCAATGCTTCTCAACTTACATCTTTAGCAAATAAAAAGACGCTGATTAATATCAGTGAGCCCGCAATATGCCGTGGATATTGTTCAGAGGATTCTTTGGCGCAACAGCTGTCACTTTCGCATCTCAATGTTAGCGCAGTTAAACGATTGCATAGGAGCCTTATTACATTTAGGACCGAACGTTATTACATTTGGGGCTTTATTGCATTTAGGACCAAATGTTATTACATTTAGGAATTTATTACATTGAGGAATTTATTACATTTAGGACTTCAACAATCGCCACTTAATATGTATTTTTAGTTGGAATTTCGTGAATGACTGGATGTGCTTACCATCCCTCACGGCGCCGCAAGTTGACCTTAGCTTAACGTATGAGAACGGCGTTGAGTTTGAGTTTTTACTTTATGGTTTTGATACCTTGTTTTTTCCTCTATATAGAAAAATTATGCGAATTCAGCCGCTTTCTTTGAATATACTGTTTATCGTCGGGGCAAGAACTGGAGTTTAGCTGCCATACAGGTCGCTGATGTCAAAACGACTGGAGAAGGGCTGTAGAATCGGAATAAAAACATTGGACTGGATATGTCTACTGACACAACTGATGTTAATTTTATGACTCAAGCTGTTTTTTTACCTTTCTTCTAAGAAAATTGTATCAGTTTTTAGATTGAAATTGTTTTGATTGGTTTGACGATACTGTAGTAAACACTTTTGAGTAAATTTTAGGACCAAAGCGAAAAAAGTATAAAAAAAAAAAAACGTCATAAAGGTTTCCTGATTTTTTTTTAAGAGCAAACCTATGTATTATTAAAGAATTAATCAAAGAGGATGAAAACTTATCATAATATATTATACAAGAAAATGAAAGTTCTCATAAGATTAGATTGACCAGACGGTAAATTTAATGATTGAGAGTTGAGTCGAAGGCCGCATAAAATAAGTGAAACAGCTATAGACACGTACCTATGGGTCTTTGCGGCGTTTAGGCTACTTAAGGCTATCGTACAGGGGTCAAATTACTTTTTATAGTCTGGTTTTAGGGCGCCTAACTTCGCAAAGGTGATAAAAGATCGAAAACTCAACGGGACAATCTTAAGAGAGCTTGAAATGGCTTCTGAGATCTCTTGCCAGTTTGAATGCTTTTCTGAAGACCGATGTATGTCATACAACTTCCTTTCCATCCATGGAAATGAGAAAAGTACATGCCAAAATGCAACTAAGTGATCTGACCGATTTGTTAGTCGAGTTAATTTTATCAAAGAACATGGAGCACTGTTTAAAGGGATACAGGTTATAATACTGGTTGGTGTTAGTATTAGAGAGCTATGAAGCATTGAATTGAATTGAATAGAGTGGGAGGGCTGGAGAGTGAAAATATTGAACTCGGGGTCATAATGTAAAGACTGAGCGCAGCGAGCTCCTTGAGTCTTCGCCACGAGCCGAGTATATTCCAGTATGGCCCTGTCAGTCAATCAGCACTTTAACACATGACCACTACTTCTCGAAACTTTGGAAAATTCTATTTCAGCTTAAATAGGACCCGAAAGACAAGTGCACGCGATACAACCACAAGAAAGATCCTACTTTAAAAATGTTCTCTTTTTTTTTTTTGAGTCAGAACAAGAAAATCAGAATTCATCGAAAAATGGGTCTTATTTTCTCACTTCTTTATTTCCACCGAGTACAAGTCCACAGTTAGAAGCTTTCTTTGTGATTGCGCACGGGGTGTCAGGCGAGTCATATACGTTATATGTATTCCTACTTTTGAGCGTGCAGGCCTAAAGGTTATGACGCCATTAATTTTTATTTTCATTACAGACAATAACGTTTATACTCTCAGTGAGTTATATCCTCAGATGTTTAATTCATAGATTGCCCCAAAAACACTATTTTTGGGGCAATCACTATTTAGGGCAAACACTATTTTTGGGGCTTTTTTTAAGATTGGCGAACATCACGACTCATCGTATAAATACTGAAATTTAATTTTTGTCACTTTTTACATCCTTTTCTCGGTTAATATGGTAGAATTATGCTAATTCAGCTTGTTTTGTTACCAATTTCAACTACCTGCCTCCTTTATTTATCTTTCGTGTTAGCTGCCACACAAATGTGACAAGTTGTTTTGTTGTCCCGCTAAAGAAAAAAAAGACACATCAGCTTTCCGAATGAAAATGCTCTGAGTGGATTGAAGAATGCTTTTTTGTCCATTTTCAATAAATATCTTCATCAGAAGCCAAGGAAATATCCAAATAATCGTGACGATGCAAATGATGATTGCTATTTTGAACGACGTAAAAGATGGATATTGCATATTGGGAAGTTAGTGATATATGTAATTTGCATGTAAATTAAGTCACAAGAATGGTAACTCTGCTTTTATTTTCGACGGAGCTTATTAATTATGAATAGGAATCCTTGAAATTGCTTAAAAGTTAAGCGCCACCAGTTTGAAAATTCAGCCAAATCAAATTTGAGTCGAAGGCAAGATAAAAATGAAGCAACTAAACATGTACCTATTGACCTTTTCGATGTTTTCACTTACGGCTATCGCACAAGGTTCAAATCGGTTGTCGGAGCCCGATTTTAAGGCTGCTAATTTCGCAAAGGCGATAGAAGATCAAAAACTCAACGGGAGTGTCCTCAGAGACTTTGAGGTCGCGTCTGAGATCTCTTGTCAGTTTGAATGTATCTCTGAAGAGCGATGTTTATCTTACAACTTCCTTCCCATCCATGGCAAAGAGATAAGTATATGCCAACTAAGTGACTCGGACCGCTTTATCAGTAGCGTGAATTTTACGAAAGAGGATGGAGCTATTTACAGAGGAATACAGGTGACAATACTGAATTATTTAATGGAGTCTGCCCTTCAGATGGGAATTTGTGAAAAATAGTTGTTTTGATGAACTTGAATGTCATCTGGCTCGTTTTAAGTGTATTTCCTTCGGTGTAAATGTACTGCTAAGTGTTTAGGTGTACTATCTCTATCTACCTTAATGAATTACCAGTTGATAATGAATGATTGTTTTACCTCTCTGTCGACACATTACAGCTATTTCCGTAAAAACCAACTATGATCTACCAAAGTTATTGGTGCCTTAAAGCACCTGTCAAAAAAGGCAGGGTTTCTTGTCAGAAAAGATAATGCTACACTATAGTGATCTTTCGAGGACAAACTTTACTGTGAAATGAAATCACATAATCTAAATTCTATAGAGACTTTCGTTTGACAAAGTGGAAAATTAATTAATAACAAAAAGCTGAAATATAGATAAACCGTAGCAGACACTCAAATGACTGTAAAGGGAATACAATCGAGTCTTCATTTCCACCTTTGTGAGATTAGTTTGTTCTTAGACTTTGCAAAAATAAAACTGTCCCAGCTTTTTCTCTTCAAAGATGTAAGATCGATAAAAGGCAGGAAGTTCTTAGCCCACTTCCTCAACTTTAAAGTATGAATACATATGTAAGGCAATTTTATTTCCTTACTTTTAGAGCACCTGCGAACAAGATATTCCGTGCACAGAGAGTGAAATATGTGTGGTTGACTACAGATCAAACACTCACTTTTGTAAGTGTAGCAGAGGTAAGGATAGACGTGGTTAGATCTTTGTAGTTTAACAGCTATGGATTTACACAGTTGGGGATGGATTTTCTCTAACAGAGTAAACGGTGAACGGTGTAATTGAGACGCTTTTAAGTGCCGAGGTGCAGATTCAGCTAGGAAATAAGAATTCGAATATAACAAACAGTTAGATGGCGAGGGAGAACATCAACTCAAGTCCACTCTGTTGGAGAGAGAGAGGAAATCCCCTAAACTAATATGCAATAATAATATTCTGCATGAAGTAAGAAATTTTGTGGTCAGTTATGACGGAAACAAATAGGGTTGAGACAGGACATTTTCATTTCACGCTTTGCAGGATGCTATAACACCAATATATGATTAGGAAAAAAAACACTTCAGGTGACTGATATATCGGCTGGTAATGTCCGCGGCCAAGATGTTTAGCACGCTGGAACATGCCGGGACATGCCGGAAAAATGTGGGAACATGCCTGAAAACGAGGAATATCCTAGAAAATACCAGAACACCGGAACATACCGGAACACCGCGGAAAAACTAATAAAAAAACCTTAAGATTCGATGAAAAAATATAGTTCATGGTTACCCGGTGTTCCAGGTCTTAACACGTGCCGAGATATTTGTCAGAAAAATGAATAATTGGTAGGGAAGCAAAACTTTGAGGACACTGTCTCAGTCAAGGACGTTATCAGCCTACAGACCAGCAAGCCAGAAGGGTTTTATTATTAATTTTAGAACCCTTCCATTACTTGTCGTAAAGCAAGTTGAAAGCAAATTTTGTCGACTTTTTTGTACTTTTGGAGCAGAATTTCAGATCAGCTTTTTAGTGTCACTATTACTGGACTCAACAAAACGAGTTCTTTTTCTTCCATGTAAAGTGATAAAGATGAAAAAGTGAAATTCTTGACATAATTTTTTCCGCTGGCTTTGTTTCTTTCCGATGGAAATAATTGGGGGACAAATGCAGACGTAGACGGGGGTTATTGAGTGATAACTATCCGGTGAGTTTACAACACATGACTAACTATAAAGTAGCTAATTTAATTGCGCAGAAAATGGAAAGGTGGGTTATAGAAGTCGGTAAATTTATACTCTCAAAGGATTACACCTTTGGGTTCCTATTCTAAAGATTGTCCTAGGAACTGTCTTGACCATTATCAAAATGGCTCCACTTCCGACGGAGTGTATTTGATTTACCCTGATGAAGAACAACCCTTCCAAGTACTGTGTGACATGACAACTAATGGTGGAGGATGGACCACCTTTCAAAGGCGCATGGATGGCTCTGTAGACTTTTATGTCGACTGGGAATCTTACAAAAAAGGCTTTGGAAATCTGGAGGGCGAGTTTTGGCTTGGGAATGACTACCTTCACCGTCTCACTGCATCTGCCAACATGGTGTTTCGAATTGATATGGAGGATTACGAAGGCGACCGAAGATTTGCCGAGTACACGACCTTCTTTGTGGCCGAAGAAAGCAATGATTACCGGGTAACGATCGATACATACCGAGGCACCGCAGGCGATGCATTACTATCTCTCAGTAGGCCTATCAGGTTTGTTTCAGGCATTTCAGTTTTTCGTATAATGCTTAGCGAATAGTAATATAAAGCTAACCCTGAGAGCTCTGCGCAAGAACCGAGAAAAGTATTCATTACCCGCTGAAGATGAAGATCTCTACACTTATTCAAGTTAAACATCTCTTTCTGAGAATGTACTGCTACAGGCAACATTGCTGATCAAAAGATCCAACTTATATCTGACGCATATTGCTGACAATTATAGCTCCTTTTGAATTGGTGCTAGTACATTCCTCTACGCTACATTATTAACCATAAAATGTATTTTGTTGATTCCTAACGTTACCATTTGTCTTTCACTTGCCTGATGGGGGAATATTCTTTTTCTACACTTGCTGACAATGCAGCCTTATTGCTGACCATACAATGTTATCAGTAGCATTGTTGTTCAGCTCTTCCTTAGTTTCTTAAAAAATTCTTTTTTCATATCAGAAATATGAAGTTTACAACCAAGGACAGAGACAACGACGTCGATAACAGTAAGAATTGTGCCTTGTACTATAAAGGCGCCTGGTGGTACAACTATTGCCATAACGCAAATCCAAATGGTTTGTACCAAGGTGGAGGCAACGCACAAGGAATTACATGGGAACCATTTCGGGGACAAGATTATTCGTTAAAGCACATCGAGATCAAACTTCGACCAGCATGATTTGTATCTTAGAAGCTGCGTGTTTAAGCCTTCAGCAGACTATAATGAAAATACAGTGTAATAACAACAACAATGATAATGGTGATAAGAATTACTATAGTAATTGTAATAATTATAAAAATTATAACAATTATAATAATTATAATAATTCTAAAAATTTATTATAATAAAAATGCACATCAAGATGTTCCATTGCAAATAAATAGAAGGTCTGAAAATTAGAAAAAATATGAGAAAACGAAGACTTCATATTAATGACGAAATCATAATTAAAAGTGAATTTATTAAAACAGCTTTGGTCCTAAACAGGATCTGCTTCTGAGGTGAACGTATCTTTTTATTATCTTTATTATTATTCTTATTAATATTTCTTTTTAAATAAAGCGCACAGATGATTCTTTCACAACTGCGATAGAAAAAATTAAGTAAATAATCCTCATGTTTTAATCAACTAAGATTAATCTTAAGGTTCGTGAATAACATAACCAACTGATATGTAGTTTTTATGACAAAATCGTTTTTATAAACTTTGCAAGGTTTGGTAAGGTCACAAATACTAGTTGCATCAACTGAAAGGCCAAGAAACATTTTTGAAAGCACAATCGCACGAAAAGATTACCTATTTACTTTTAAGGGACTCTTCTTTGCACAGGCTTTTGACTATAATCAAAATATTTTGGCCTCATAGAACTTCACCTTGACATGTAAACTAAACTTGCAATTAATTTCTATCGTAACTCCTTATAAACGGAGGCTGCCATACTGCTTGATATTATATTATATGAAGAAAGGTGCTAGTACTTGATTTACCTCGATTTCTTATGTAGGAATAGGGATCAATTCCTTGCAGTTACTGTTGTTGCAGAGCAAGTCGTTTGCATCACTCCAGTCCAATATAGACAAAGAAATGTCAGACATATCTAGTGAAAATCTTCACCTATCAAGAGATAGATATATCTTCCATGTGATTAATAAGTTTGTAACAGTTATAATAAAGCTTCTAGGTTAATAACAATTCCCTTATACTTTTCCCATCAAACCCTTGCTGTTATTTGATAGAATTATATCGATCTAGCTTGTTTTGTTGCCAATCTAGCAGTTGTTTTGTCTCATTTTTTGTCCGAGCACGTTCCAGCATTTTGCTGCTCTAAGGTTCATTGTCATTAAGCACGACTGGCGGAGGGCTGTAATATCTGAACAAATCGTTGGATTGGACGTGTCTACGAACAGTTTCGTCTTAATTTTATGACCCAAACTGTTCTGTTTGCTTGCTTCTGAGAAAAGTTTATTAGCTTTCCGTCTAAATCTTTCTGATTGGCGGGTAAAACAGTTTGTTCGCCCCCGATAATTGTTTGATCGAAAGCCAAGAAAACACCCAAACAATGCTGACATTACACCTACTGATTGATGGTTTTAAGAACGGTCGCGTGATAATTCAACGGCGTACTCTATTTTCATTCTGGCACTTTCCTTGTACCTGTTAGCCTAGTTTGGCAAAAAAAAATTAAACATTCAATCACTTTTCCTCGTCATAAACTTTCTGAAGGTGAAGAAAAACATGCATCTTAGCATAATATTTCTTTTTTATGTGTGTGTACGGCATAAGCCGTATTTCAGAAGCAGACCTCAAAGCTGTTAACCTCACTTAAAAGGTAACAGGGTAAAAACTGAATGGAAGAATGATAAAAAAAAATGGATTCGGAAAGTTCCTCTCAGTTTGAGTGTGTGGATGGAGAGCGATGTCAATCTTACAACTTTGGAACCGTTAATGGCTACCAAGAGATATTCAAATGCAAACTATGCGACTCTGATCGATTTGCTGGATTTGCTAACTTAACAGAGGATAAAAATCTCATTCACAGAGGAATGATGGTAAGCTAAATCTGTCTTAGTGCATCAAAAGTTACTTGTGGCGCAAAGTTTAAATCTTATTATCTAAAATTGTAGCTGGATCTCTTAAAATGTTTTCTAACTGTGATAGATGAACCTTACTCTACCTAACATAAATTATGTCGGTAAAGTTAATAAGAATCTAAAGGACTATCTAAGGATTCTGCGACAATCTGGAGAGAAAGTTGCTGATGTTTGCCATAAGGAAAAAAGCCCGGAAGAGCGCTAATAAACAACAACAATAACAACTTCAAAACAGGTGGGCCACAAGAAAGAAAAAATTTAAAACCACTTTAAGGACATCATTTTTGCAATGAGAAGTTAGTAATCAGGAAAATAAACCATGCCCCATTTATGACATATATCCTGATATAAAAATTCCGGCGTTATCCTATCCGTATATCAGTCGACGTATAGTTTTGAATGAGAATTTAAGTTCCTGCATATAGCATAGATAATGTACTTGAAATTAAGATATATGGCGGTTGTATTTTTCCCCTATAATTTCAATTAAGTGAATTAGTATTTCAGGGTATTGTCAAAGTCAAGCAACATTTTCGCCTAACCAAATGTTGTCTGCATAAATTCGACTTTATGAACCTATTTTCATCACAATTTTTTTTCTTTTAAGACGAAAAAGACAAAATCGTTGGAAAACGTACAACGAGTGTCGCTGGCACTGCCAACAATACTTCCCGAGAGGCCTTGGAATGGTGTAGTGGTAAAGTTTGGCTATCAGTGGTGATTGGTTTGGTCGCTTCTGAAGTCACAGTATCCATATTTTAAAATCAGGTGAGTTTGAGATAAAGCGAATAAATAACTTGATAAAAAATGATAATAATCGTAAGATGATAATGTGACCTTGAAAAGAAAAAATAGAAGCGCTAGCTTTTCCCTTCATAGCGACATCATTTGATTTAGGTCAAATTTTAATGTAATATCAGGTGGCTTGTAAATGTTTCTTTTCAAGCTAGAATGCACGCGCATGCTATAAACACCAAACCAATAGAGGATCTTTTCTTTCTTCATTCCTTTTCCTGTTCCTTGGAGCGTTGTTATATAGAAGCGGTCAACAACGTTCGCGGGTCTTGATTACTTTACCGAGGATTAGGGTCTAACTTGTCTTTTATTCAAAAACGATCTTGATCACACGGGGTCTTATCCTGAACTGAAACGCTAACTATAATTTTTTCTCTAAAAAGAATTAGTCACGGAGGCGACAACCTAGCCAGGAAATATTTCGCAGCTTCTCTTGGAAATGGTAACATTTAGCTTTAGCGGAAGCGGTTACATCGCCTTCATGCATTCAGGTAAAAGACGTGGTGGCTGACTTTACTGGATCAATCCAAACGGTGGTTCAACAGATGACTCTTTTCAGGCTTTTTTCGATATGCAGATTGATAGTGGAGGCTGGACACTATTTTCTACGAAAGTGTCTTCGTCAAAGTAGCGTTCCGGGAATAGCAGCAAAAAAAACAGACGCAGATGCAGCAAGTCACATTCACCCTGACATGGGGGACTGGGAATAAGTTATGTTCTGGTTAAGTGACGTCAATACCATTCGGGTTAATAAAAACAGGAAGGCAGGTGCTCCAAATAAGGACAAAACAGACTTCGACAAGTTCTTGATGGGAACAACATACAATATAATGTGATGTAATGCAATCCAAGGTTTTTACAAGTACACACGGTAGATCGCAAGGAGAGGAATCCCCCTTCTGGTTTGTCACCTTATCAAATTTCCACTTCGATTCAAACGGAGGGATATCTGAATTCCATTTTGACACGGACAAGTGGCTTAAAATGTGGAATAGCACTAACAGCTCAAACAGCTACGTCGTTTCCGACGGGTTACAGGTCGCGGGTTACTGTTATTTAAACATTCGCATCTTGGGTGATGGTGCGATACAGGCAAACTGAAGTTGAAAACTGAGATTTTTTTATTAGGATTTTACTCTCACTATTGGAATAAAAATAAAAATAACGAGAGGGATCATTAACACCTTGGCTGTTTAAAACTGAGTTTTATTGGTACACTGATATATTTGCAGATAAAGCAAGTGTATCCATGCGATGTCTCAAATCAACTAAAGCAATAAAAAAAAGCATGCAAAAGAAAAAAAAATGAAACTGTTCACATAGAATAAAAGAGAACCAGTGAAAAGGATATCCCTTTGGCGGTCAAACAGATCCGGAAAAACTAATAAATGCCTAAGAATATCACATGAGAAATTATAATCATCTCCTCAGCTCTGTGTTAGTAAAGCTAGAGTTAGTAGGCAAAAAATACGTTCAACTTGAACAGCAGTAAAAGTTTTGTGACTTCACTTAGAACTTCAGTGAAAAAAACAAAAAAGAAAAAGGAAAGTAATTTGAGAAAGTTATGCAAAAGTTCCCGATTGCTTTTATAAAGCATTCAAGTTTTTTCCGTAACACGAGAAATGAAGGAACATAGCGTTTATTTACTTCTTGATTAATATAGATTTTCTTAATACATGATCTGAAAGATAGCTTTTCCTAATAGCCAATCAGGCGTTGATATTTTCAGTCTTTCATAAGAATTTTCATTTTAAGATAATGATCTGAAACAGCTGTATGCAGCCGGCTTTCTTTATATGACTTCATCCCTGTTTTAAGGCATTCGATCTGAATCGAAGTGAGGGAACAGCGAAAATATATTTCAGGTATTTACTCCTTTTTGTCACTAAAAAGGTCGATACAAGAAAAGAGAAGATTAGACGTCAGTGAAATTTGACAGAAAAAGAACCCAGTGAAGGGCAGATCTTTCAACTCTAAAGGAAAAATTTGGTATTTTTGCAACCTCAATGTGTAAATATCATAATTATGAATAACTACATAAGCGTTCTTCAAGAGCCGATGAAAAATTCATAGTTACTTAGGTATGCCATCAAATACTGCGCAGCCTTAAAAAGGGAATTACGAATAGAAAGTTTTCACTGATTCTTGATATTTTCCATATTATTTGTTAATAATTATTTAGACATTCTCCGCTGCGATTACAACAATAACAACATTTTCATGTTTTTATATCCGGTGAACTGTTTACAGCGACACGTTGTTTCTGGCTCCTACTCAGAAGCGGAAATAAA